TTGTATACATATACGCCTTTTTTCTATTTTAAAACAATTGAAATCACATGTTTCACAACATAAAAAAGATCAACAATCGATTTTGTCACAAAGTGATAAAACGAGTGTCCATTATGCTGGGTTCGGTATATAGAGAGAGCTTTGTATTATTAAAAAAATTTTGCCCGATTAACAATTTTGCCATAATAATAATAATAATAACGGATTTTTTTGGCTGGAGCCATGAATCCATTATTACTATGACGAGGTTTGACTGTAATCTATTAAGTGCGCAATAATAAAATTCAACAGATGTGTGATTACTTTGTAAGTAATGAACGATTGAATTTACCAGTTAAAAAATTCCACATGACTAAATTAACCGGTTAATCAGTTAATAAAGTTAACCGGTTAACCGTTTCTAAAATTAATTGGTTAACGGTTAACTCTTAATTTTAACGGTTAATTAACCGGTTAAAGAATTTTTGCGCAGTGCCAACCTCTACTTCAGCATCCGATAATCAAATGTCGCATATCGAAATCTTTCTTTTTCAACAGTCAATGCTGCCTTGACATCTTCTTGTAATTATATATTAGTATTAGTATTATTATTATTACGATTACGCAAAGCAAAATATTAATATTATCAATGAAAATCTTGTAATTACTAGAGATGGGCAGATCAGTACTATACGTATAGTGTGTATAGTTCTAGAAAAATATAGTAGTAAATGTAAATCAATTCCTGTTTAGGTTATTGCCAAATAATAAATGTGATGTTACACATAAAAATTAATTAATCTCTTCTCACGATAATATATATTTTAAACTTGCCTGCAATTTGGCAACATTTTAAAAACATTTACGTCTTTGTCCAAATTCCACAATTCAAATTAAAAGAAATTATTTTGGAGAACATTTTAATACTTCAAATACTTGGTGTACAGGTAAATTACAACATAATTGAAGAATCAAATAAAAATGAAAGAAGTTTTGATTTTTATGATATTTAATTCATTCAATATAATTAATGATTCATAAATAAAAACCTAAAAAAGTGTAGGTTGAATAAATTAAAGATTTATGCTTATCGTAATAAGCAAAATTATTTTTTTTTTCTTATTATTATTATTATTCAGTTTTGTATTACATTGGAAAATCACCCAATCAAAATTCAACACTACTATACGTACTATACGTACTATACGCACTATACGTAAAGTATCGTATAGTGTCGTATAGTGTTCAACTATACGCCATTTGCCCATCTCTACTTCCGATACAACATTGAGAACAATGACTAATTTTATTGTTTTCTTTAATAAGTTGTGCTAAATTCTTTTTCAAAGAAGGGAATAGAAAGTTGAATATTGCTTAAAAGTTCTTTGCTATAATGTCATATGACTTTTAAAAACTTTACCCAGAATTCTTATATGGTTCTTATTATTATTATTAATACTATTACTAGATGTCTATTTTCTAATTTTCAGCTAAGAATTCAAAACACCAATGCGCATGTCATTAGATCCAAATTGTGTGTTATTATTATTGTGGTATTTTTTATATTCTACATACACAATTACAGTACAATTGATGTCCAGAGTACAACTTGTTAGTGTGAGAAGCTTTCTTTTAATCGGTAATCTGTACTCACAATGACTTTTTTTGAAGATAAACTTTCACTGTTGCACTATTGATTTGAGCATCATCGAGTTACAAACTCAAACAATGAATGTCTAAAAATCTCTTGAGTAGGTCGTATAGAGGATGAAAGTATCTTCATTGTTAGTATTTACAACTTTTAATATTGGCAGTGGCTATTGTATTTTTAGGGTCACATTGGTTAAAGGAGAAATTGAAGGATTCATTAATAGTGCGGTGCCATGTAGAGGTTGTAATCAACTAAAATAGTCAACTAAACTTTTTTTTGAACAACTAATAGTCGAATATCTTAGTTGACTAATACTAACACTAAATAGTTGACTATTTTAATCAATTATTTAGTCGACTATTTTAGTTGTTTATTATTATTTAGTTGACTATTTTAGTCGACTAATTAGTCAACTACTAATATTAATACTAATACTATGTTAATATTATTATTGTCTGACCAATTATGGTTTTTGTGTTTTATCATTCAAAATGGAAAATTTCTATGCAGAAGAGTATCAACACCATCAATATGATGATGATGACAATAGTAATGGTGTTGTTGTTGATAATTTTGCACGCGAATGAATAAATACTCTCAATACAAGGTCCAATGATTTAAGCGGTGATTCCAGAAGCGGTCGCGTTTACTTCGTCGAAAATTATTTCGTCAACAATCATTTCGTCGAAAGTTCATTTCATCAAAAGTTCATTTCGTCGAAAGTTCGTTCTGTTGAAAGTTCGTTTTGTCGAATGTTCATTTCGTCGAAAATTATTTCATCCTTGAGCCAGAAACTGAACGAGTTAGATGTGAGGAGTGTGGGAAGTTAGTTAAGAAATTAGGTGAGGAAAGCGGAGTGTGTGGGAAGTGTGAGGAGAAATTTGTTTAATGAAGTTTTTTTTGTGACGAAATGAACTTTCGATGAAACAAACTTTCGACGAAATAGGTGTCGATGAAATGACTGTCGACGAAATGAATCAGACCCATTTTCTATTTTATTGGACATGATCTTGATGGCGTAAGTATAGGGTGAACATTCACAGGATCTGAATTGAAATCACCCATTATAATTAAAGAGAAATTATTTTGCAGGCTTTGATTGATGAATGAGATTAGTTGATTATGAACTGGAGTTAGTATGTTGGGATCTGAGGTTGCTGGTGAATATACTTGGATAATTTGAAGCCTGATTCGATCGGTGAAAAGTAAATCCGCAGCTATGTATCTTCCAGTTCTTTATATACATGTCCTTTATATATTAGCCCGAATTGGGCGATTCCACCCGGTTTGGTGAATCTGCCCACTTTGTACTTGGGAGATTCCACCCAGTCTGGGCGATTTCGTCCCATCTGGATAATCGTCATTAATTTCTACTAAATAAAGTTAAATAAATATGAATGTGCTACGGATTAATTAATAAAAATTAATAGACGGGACGTAACACGAATTCAGATGATAATAATTATACACGTTATTAATAAATAAATAGAATTAATAAAATAAATATAATAATAATAAAAATAATGAAAATAAGAATAGATTAAATAACAATAAAAATAGAAATAAAATTTAATTTGATCCGAAATTAAAGGATTCGGCCAAATTATCTTCGTCATCGTCTAATTCTGGTAACACATGTTTTAATTCACCATTTGCCTGAATTTATGGAACAACATCAACAATTTGGATTAGGTGCTTTTTCTTGTGATCCTGTAGAAAAAAAAACCATGATCAAGTTTCTGCATTTTTTTCAAAAAACAATGAAAGATGGAGAAAAATGAGCAGAAAGAAAATCTGCTATTGTTGAGATTTTAGATTATGAGAATCGGTTAATGAATTTTACTCATAAGAATACTATAGAAAAATATCCCAAGCCACACAAAATTCACATTAAAAAGTTATAAATTTATATTTATATAGAAGAAATAAAACAATTTTTACATAGATTTAATAAAATTCAATATTTACTGCCATAATAAATACATAGTATTTTTCTTGTAAAATATTAAATCATAATGAAATTTTATTTTGAAAGAATAATCTATTTTAATGATCTATACAATTATATATACATGTACAATCTACAATTAAATTTGTTGAACATGAAAATTTAAATGAATATATACTGCTGAAGTTATATTGTTCCTTGCATCTTTTTTACTTTTTTTGTACTTCCATTCAACTGTTAATTTTGGTAAATTAAATTTTTTAATCGATTTTTTGGAATACGCCTTCCATTTTGATCAAATATAGTTTCCTGGTTAGCTTCTACCTCATCCCTTGTATCAAATAATACAACAAAGGTTTGTTGGTCATTATCAAAAAATTTGCGCCCCCAATTTGAGTTGCCAAGTAAATTAGCTATTTGTGTGTATGCATCTAGACCTTGGAAAAGGCACTTATAATTACTGGAATGATAGTTATAATAATGAATATACCCTTCAAAAACTCCAAAAAACTAAAGCTCCTAACGGTTCGGTTCGAACAGGTTTTATGGGTAAACCGAAACCGAACCGAATTTATTTTTAAACCAATAAAAATTTAAATTTGATAGTGTTACCGGAATTAGAAATTCATTGGCTGAAATTCTTTAATCTATTTCGTATAGATTTCGCACTTCAAGAGCTAAGAGCTATTTCGGGATTAAATCATTGAATCACAATTACACAAAGAAGTTTAGTAATAGCCTATTCATCCTGATCCACATAATTGAAATTTCTTTGTTATCATCAATTAATTATGCTCCTCTCCAACTTCACTATTATAAATAGGAGAACTATTATCAGGTGAATTATTATCAAGAGAATTATGTAATTCATTCATGAAGAAATCAATAACTAACGGTAAAATTGAAGGAGAGGAATCAATTATTAATTATTATTTTTATTTTTATTTTTTTTTGATTATATACTGTATATTAATATATATCGGAAAAAAAAACTAAACCGAAACCGAACCGAAAATTTTCGAATTGGTTTTTTAAAAACCGAAACCGAACCGTTCGGAGCTTTACAAAAAACAAACTTTCCAAACAAGGAAAGGAAATAGCTCGTCTACCTGATTGAGAAAAATGTCCTTTAAGTTTGCTTTGAATAACATGAACAAGAAATGCTTTAAACTCAGTTATCACTTCAGAAGGCAATCTGCACAATCCTTCATGTTTCAGGTTGTATTTTCGTACAATAGTATTATGATGCATTAAACCAGATTTAGTTTTGTATAAGATCTTACAAACTGCACATTCATAATGTTGTGAAGCACAAGTGGGTGAAGAAGGTGGTGTAAGAACGGTAGAAACATCCATGTTGGCTGTATAGATTAACATAGCTTCATTGTTATATACAGTGAACCTTCCATAAGTGCACCCCCCTTGGGAATGGATGAGAGTGTGCATTTATGGAGGGATGCATTTATAGAGGGGAAGAATTTTATTGGTTGCACGTGATACTAATAAAAATAATTATTGTACGATTTTAAATATTTAATTACTATTATTATTACATAATAAATATATTATTTGTTGACTAAAAAAATTGTTTCATTGTGGTTTGCTTCATTGAATTTTTTTTTTTTCAAATTAAACTTGTCCTAATTGTTTTTTAGAATTTTATTATTTTATTTTTGGTTACTTTTATTAAACATAAATTTTAAAAAAAAATTCGTGATCTTTTATCCTTTGTTTAATACTTGATTTTTTAATTTCGCGTATATATAATTTCTCCATTTGTGTTTTTATCATTATTATTCTAATAAACGCTTTGTCAATTAAAAGAAAGAATTAACAACATCCATTTAATCCTTTTTAAGCAACAGTAGCTTACTTAATTATTTATTTTCCATTACTAATATTAAAAAAGAGGTAACAAAGATAAATAGATATAAATAACGTTTGAATTAATTAATGCAACACGAATTTATTTAGCAAATAAATAACGTGAAAGTCACGGACGTGCATTTAGAGAGGGTGGTTTTATACCGTGTAGTGCAGAATATAGAGGGCGTGCATTTATCTCTAATTCCCGAGGTTGGGAATGAGACATAGCGTGCATTTATGGAGGGATGCATTTATAGAGGGTGCACTTATGGAGGGTTCGCTGTAGTACAAAAAATAACTCTTTAACATAAATAATGTAACAACTTTTAACATTTTAGCTTATTTGTAGTAAATTAGACGTTGGGTAGATGTTGGAAGGATTGGAAGGATTGGTTTGACTATAATAAAAAAATAATGAATATTTGTTTTTCTGAATATTTTAAATATTTTGGGGTGATTTTCATTAGTTGATCAGTCAGATGGCCAATCACAGCTGCGGAAATAATTAATTGGGGATCAAAATGTAAAAATGCGCGCATATGATAAGATGAATCCTGTTTATTAGTGTTGGTGTTAGCATTGGTGATTAGATCATCTGTGTATCTAAATTAAGTGCAACATTTGGTACAGTATGTGCAACATAAAGTGTAACATTTGATGTAACGTTATGGAAGAGATTTTGAGTTGGTGAGTGGCTTGGGAAGAGATTGTATTGTCGGAAGAGACAGATTTTGTATCCATAATTTCCATAGATGTATTAATAGTGAGTTTAGAAGTTTAATAGGGACAAAGATCAGTTGGCTTATTGAATGAACAATCCAAATTACAGGTAAAAGATTTATTGTTTTTATGAGCAAAGATTTGCCCAAAACAATGATTAGTATTATTATGTTCATTTGTTAATGTATAAACAAATGTTTGATTGCAGTTAATACAAGTAATCAAGTAGTAGTCTTCTTGAGGGCAGACTGAACCAGAAGGAGAAGAAGAGCTGTCAATTTTCTTTTTTGCTGAAGCAGGAGTAGGTGGACTTTGCCCAGTTTTGGCTTTATTACGATTTCTTTTATTTGACATCTTAACTAGGATTAATAACTATTGTATGGATGAAAAATAAAGTAAAATATGTTTTTGATTTGGTTGTTTTAATTAAAACAGTACAGTGAACCCTTGTTTCAACGAAGTATAATTAAATTTTTGATATATACAACGAATTTTTAAAAACGTTGTTACACATTATGAAAACATATAAAAATTCGTTGAAACGCGATTAATAACCTTGTTTCAACGAATGTTGAATAAAATTTTCTTATATGTCCAGCCACTTCGTTGAAACAAGGGCAGACTATAAATTCTTTTCTTTGAAAATTTTTATTTAAATGATCAGCAGAAAAAGTTTACATTTTATTAGGAAAGTGTGTGTCTTTAGAATTGACGACACTTCTAGTTTCTAAAATAAATAAATTCTTCCCGTTTCTTTTTTCGTACTTTTTTAGACAATTTTTTTTGTTACTGTTTCCATCTAAAAAATAATTAAAAAGCACATTGATGATTTTCGCAATTTCCAGGTAAAAATTTTATTTTCTCGGTATATTATTCCTCAGTATAATTTTACAAAGACAAAGTAAATAATGATCATTATGTAGCCTTTGTTATCCCAATGAATCAAAATAAAGTTTGCTTACTGCATAATAGTTACATAATAATAAATAATTCCAAAAAAGAAAATGATTCTAGAGTTATTAATAAATTAATAAATAGGGTAAAGTTTCTCTCATAGACTTATTTTATTGATATTTATTAACAATTCAATAGTATTAATTAGTATTAATTAGCATTTATTCGATATGTACAAAAGATTTCTATTCAACCAAAGCAAAAAAGTGATCTTGACTTTGTTTTTACTCCTTCCACTTGTGACAGCATCTATCGTCGACGAAAATTATGAATCTAAACAGGATGTGTATGATGCAATTTTTAGCGCATTCTTTCCAGTATTTTTTGTCGTTCTATTCGATGTCTCAGGGAAAACTGGACCCATCAAAAATGTGCTGTTACCATTACTGGATGACTTATTATACAACACTGTCATTTGGGTGATTCCGCTGGTAGTTTCTTTGGCCTATGATGATTTGCCGAGTATAAAGATATTTTCATTTGTAAACATGGCTTTGCATTTAACTTCCGCAGTAGCTGCGATAATTAGGAATAGAAGGGTTATAAAAGATGTTGAAAGTTCATCTTTTTTTAGTTTTATCTTTTTTTTCTTGATATTTTTCCCAGCGATAGTAGTTCCAACATTCTGGATTGTTATTATTAGAACTAGAAATCTTTTTGATCCAATTAGTATAATATTCCTTACATTATTTGTGATATTGTTAGCTACAGCATCCATTTTTTTTATAATATTTTGTGGGAGTTGTATCTCAGAGAGATTAGAAAAAGTAACTGAATTGAAGATTTTTCTTACATTATTTGTTCCTGGATGGTTTTATCTTCCGAATATTCTGCAAACATTATTTATGGTGTTAAAATGGCCAATCAATTTTTACTTTGTCAAAGCATGCATATTTATAATGGTTCTCTCTTTAACAAGAAATATATCCTTCTTTACAGAGGAGAAATCAGCACCTGATGACTTTCTGGCCACTTCAACAACAGTGACTCAATGTCGGCTGCGCAAAGTAATAGAATTCGAGCTAAAGAAGGATGAAGAAAATCAAATAATCGAGGGGACGAAAATAAATGAAAATCAAACAGATGAAGCTCAAAAAGCAATAATTAAGGAAAGGTTGTACAAATATATGGTCACCAAAATGAAAGAAATTCAAAAGAATGAAAGTCAAGAGTATGAAACTCTGATGAAATATATGGTCACCGAAATGAAAGAAATTAAAATGAAAGAAAGTCAAAAGTATGAGACTCTGATGAAATCTATGACCGAAATGAAAGAAATTCAAAAGAATGAAAGTCAAAAGTATGAAACTCTGATGAAATCAATGGCCGAAAGGATGGATAAAATGGAAAAATTGAGACATGTCGATGAAATTGTGCCACAATAATAGTGATGTTGTTCTATTTTAGAATGGACTATTTATTGTGTTGGGTGACTTCGTCACTAACAAATACACATGTATTTATTTATTTATTTATTTATTTATTTATTATATAGCAAAATAAAATAAAATGTATCATTATTTAATAAAATATAAATATATATATCCATACAATGCCCATAATAAAAAAAAAATAAATCATATAAAGGAGATATTTTCAAAAAAAATTATGAATAATCAGCTTAGATAATAATGATATCACATCTATCGCTGTTGACAGAAAATAGCATAAAATTAACAAAATGACGACAACAGAAAGATAAATCTTAAGCAGAAAAGTTATTATTATCATTAATAACTAGTTTTTCCAGTTCCCCTGTTTGGAAAATTGCATCTTTCTCCTTTCACCAAATTCTTTTTTGCTATATACCTCCAACTTCCTTTTCTCTTTCTAATCCTTCCTACTCTTTTAGCCTATCTCTTTCACTTTCCACTCAATTTGAATTTTGTCGGAGTTGTTAGGTGATTTCTATTAAGACCCACCCATCCCGATACGACGTTGAGCACAATTTATTCCCACTAATATTTTATTTGTTTTTAAATCAGGAAATTTTTAGAGCGTCAAATAGCATTGAACAGCGCCCCTGTTTTTTAAACACCGAAAAAGTGATAATCGACAGATCATATGCAAACAAACGCACTGAAAATACATGTTGTATAATGTGTAGTAGGCATCGCATGATTCATATTGATATGCCAATCCATTAATTTTAAGGCAATGTGTTACAAAAAAAAAATGGAAAAAGTTTACAAATGAGGAAGCAAAGTGAGCCATCGAGATCATTTATGCTTCTGAATTCGGCAGAAGACGTCACTCAAAAACTCGATTAATAGTGCAAGACATCAAATGCTGTGCTAGATTTTCAAATCAACGATATTCTTTGGTGTCACAATACTATAAGAACACATGACTCAATCAATTGTATTCAAATTAGCCAATCGTATTATAATCATGGGGTTCCCAACATCACTATACAGTCAGGTCATTTTCTAACACATCATATTAATATCAGTTTAACATAATATTTCTTTGTTTTCCTGCCTAAAAATTGTAATTTTCAATTGAGTTTTTCTTATCCGGTGATTTTTGATGATAATGAGTGAGTGTACACAAAAACATAGATAATACATGTGAAATTCTATCGTGTTAACTATTCATTAAATTTAACATTAATTTGTGGGAAAAAAGTAAGAAGGTTTTCCATAGATTACAAATTTATAAAATGCAATGAGCGCAATTATTGATAATTTTAGATTCTAGTAATAATAATAATAATAATTGATGAATAACTCTACTATAAATTTATTTGTAATAATTGTTTATCTTTTTATTTTGTCTTTTAATACTTGTTAAATGGTGATGATATTGTTAGATAGCATTTCAATTAACACCTATTATTTAACATGTATGGCCAACTATGACTTATTATTTGGGGTTACTCTTGTCAGCTAATTGCAAGAAATTCATGATAAATTTAAAACTTACTTTGGTTTTCAATTACTGCCACTTTCTCACACCTAGAAGACTTTGACAAATCTGTAGGCATGTTTAATAGTATCAGATAACTATAAATAATAAAGAATGCTCTTTTACAAATCTCAAAGGCTTCTATAAAGTTTCTTTATTCACTTGTGGTTTTATTTCAGTCATCTATCCTTGTTTATATTTATTTGGCCAATTACAACTCACTTTGATTTATTTACAAAACAACCTAAGCAGCTTATTTAACAGCCTTATGTTTACGACTACAATAACATTACCAGTATTTTCAATTAATCTTTGAACAATATTTCACTAACTGTTAGTCTAACACTCACTAGTTAGTCGTAACCTATGCTTGCTTACTAAAGTAAATAAACGTGGCCTTTTGCCAAGGCTCCACAATTATTGCCTTTTTTACCAAGGTACTACACTTGTTGCTTTTACGGAACGATTTATTTAAAATAATGACAATGTTCCAAACTTTTTTCAAGTGAAAAGCAGAAGTTGTTCAAATCATAGTTATTCGTAATAATAATAATAATACATATATGATATAGGAAGTGAAAGGTTTATTGTTGCAATCTCACAATATATATCTCATAAAAATTGAAGTTTCACACTAAAATTAGTTAATTGTTGAGCGATTCCTGGAACGTAAAGTAAGCAATTCATGATAATAATATTTTTGATGATTTTATCTACTTTGACCATGTATCACGTTATTGATAATTTTACAAACTTTATTTCTTTCATAAAACGCAAGCATTTAAAATAACACAACTGTAAATTAGCTCGTGTGGTGTACTTGATTCTACTTGGTTCCTGCACCTGACCTCCCCTCCCATTTTATATTCTCCGCTGGGTTCCATATATGCTCGTTCCCAGGTTCAGTTTGGTTTGGTTCAAGTTTAATTTAACTCTGAGCTTGAACTGAACTTGTACCACTTTATTGAACCTGAACTATTCGATAAGGAAGTAGATCTGTTCAAACTTTATTATTAGTTACTACTACCCTTTACTTATGACTTGATCATTTATAATAAAACACGTTATTATGGATTTTTTGCGGTATTTTGAAAAAAAGGTTTAGATAGGCTTTTTTTGAACTCAATTAAAAATGTCATCAATGAATTTTAACTTTACAAATTTGAATTGAATAAGAAAGTACAATTATTATTATTATTATTGTTATTGTTACTGCAATAAAAAAAGATATCAATACAAACGCGTGTATTGTATGATTAATGTTCATTACAACCAATCACCAACGTACATTAAAGTTTCTTTGGTCGTGGCGACCATCATCACATCTTGATTTTGTGTACAAACATCCATTATATGATTAGGCGAGAAAATTCCATGAAATAAATGACAATTTATTGATTGCCAAAGTAATGTCTTGTCTCCAACTGCTTTTACTGAAATATTCTTATTTTTATTAACAAATGATAACAAATCTTATTTGTTAAAAAAAAAAATCGAGAGATTAATAATAATAATAATAATAATAATAATAATAATAATGATAATGATAATAATATAATATTTATAATTTACCATTATTATTATTATTACTATTATCATTTTCTTTTTTTACTCCAATTGAAACATATAAACTTGCCAAATCGCAAAGAGATTTTAGCAATTTGATATCTTCTTCTTCAAATCTTACAATATACAAACCCGTATTACTTCCATCCACATCATTTAACAATGGCATATTAATCCAACAAATCATCAATAATAAATCTTTATCAATTTTTTCGTTTATCATAAAGTTTTCGAATAATGTAATACTTAGTCCTTGTCTTCTTGATAAAGTATTTTCATTTTCAACATTTCCAATATTACTATTGTTACCACTATTGTTATTATCTACTATTTTTTGATAAAGAGAACTTTGTTGTTGCTTTGGTTTTTGTGATTGTGATTCATTAAAAGGATATGAGCGAGAAGATGATAAATCAGGAATTGAAAATTGTTTTAGTGGGAAGCAAGCTATTACCGTGTGATGTCTTATTTCAGATGTTGGCTCATCCAACGATGCTTTACGTGATTTGATTGTTATCGGAACAGAAATAGATTTTATTGAGGCAGAAATTAGATATAATGATGGTTTGGTGGTATGAAGAAGTATGGTATCGGGTGACACTAATTGTAAATCTAATTGAAAATTTTTAATTATTTTGTCAAAAATGAAAAAAAAAAAATTTACCATATTTATAAATATCAAACCTGATATTATTATGTCATCTTTATTATTAACTTTACTACTACTACTACTACTATTATTATTATTACTTTCTTTTTTCTTATCATTACTATTTTTCTCTTTGTCTTTTTCTTGATCATCATTATTCAACCAAACTTCATTATTTAAAGGTATCAGATTTAAATGTTTACAACCACCTGAACATCCAAGCCTAGACGCCTGTACCTGAGTTTGAGGCAATTGTTGTTGTTGTTGTTGCTGCTGCTGTAAAGTAATTAGATTATTCTTTAATAATTCAACCTCTTTACTATAACATGAACAAAGTTTACCACTAATTAGTTGTTTGATAGTCACTATACCAATAAATGATCCCATTTGTTTTGATTTACTGCTAAAGAACAAAAAATTTTGTGTAATACATAAATTTGTTATGTGAATTGATGTTGGAAGTGTTATTATGCTAAACCATTCAAATCTCAATGAACTATCCCAATGCTATATGTATATATATATATATAGTGTTTGTTAGATTATCATAAAGATATTTTTTTAGATATTTCACTGCTGATTTGTGATTAGTAGTACCTTTCTCAAATGCCATATAACAATTTCATTAGATTCACACAACATTATAACCTTTTGTCCAAAACCAGTAATATATTTAGGACATGAGTGAACAGAGGCTGATAATCTAACCAAAAATCATATTCATTAAAGCCATGCTTCTTAAATTTAATGATTATAATAATTTCCAATTTCAATTAGAATATTAATAATGCATCTTACTTGTATTTGGAAGAACTTTTAAAATCTTTTAAAAATCTTTCATCACCAACTTGTAATGCAATAGGAATCAAATTAAATTCTGTATAATTGTTATTGCCAACACCATTTAATCCAACTCCACCATTATTATTATTAGTGGTGGTGTTAGTAGATGTAATAGATGTAGATAATAAATTACTATGAATGTTGTTAACAATATTGTTATTATTGGCAGTGTTATTATTATCAGTAGTTGGCAGAAATTCATAAGCCTTTAAATCAAAATTACTATTTTTTTCTTTTGACTGGACATAGAACGTTATGACCAAGTTTATGATCGGTTCATTTAGACTATTTGTTGGAATATCCAATAACAACAAATGTGTTGGATCGTCATCAATTCTCAATGGTGTAAAACTACAAGTTGTCTAATGAAAAAGTGATTCTTATTATTATGTATTATTTATTATTTAAAGTTTTATTATTTAAAAACACAACCTTTGTTGAGTGCACTTCTATTGTACCATCAGTGTGTACAAAAGCTGTTAATGATTGTGAGTTGGATTGAATAAATCGAAAGATAGGTTTAGTTGATAAAGAATATGAACAAATTGACATTTTTTTATTGTTGTTACACACAATCATTTACATGTGATATATTCGGGCCTGACCAAGTACAGTAAAAATTTGAAATGTCATTTTTTTCAAATCATGGCCCATTTTATTGCAGTCCAGTTAAATCTTTGTAACAATGTAGGCAAAACCCATGGTGAAATTAATATTTGGAGCAAATTTTACAGATTCACAGCAGTTAAATTAGATGCACACCAACATTTTCGATTTTAATCATATTTAACTTCACCTTTGTCACATTTAATATTTCTACCTGTAATAATTTGAGCTGGAAAGATTACTTTCAATTTTTATCATCAGCTTTGCAAAGATTAGATACAATCATTGGAAACACATAAATATCAACATGCAAATCTTCAAGCTCAGTTATGTCCCAAGATCCTTCCATCATAGTGTTATCGATGCTTGTTTTATTCATAAGAAATTTCCAATGGGCAACAGGTTCTTGTGCTTTCAATTGGAAAAAAAATATATTAACAATTTGTCTAACAATCTCATCATTCAAGCTTTCAATTTTTGACAATTTTTCTGGGTTTCTAATTGTATGATAATGATTCATTAAATCTAGAATATCTCTTTGTAATGTTGCAATCAATGGATATTTTTTATTTTCTTTGCTGATAGCAATATTGGAAAATTCATGATTTCCAAGAACACTATATACCATAAATTTGTTGTTGTAATTTTGTTGAAGCAGCTTTGTTAACTTCATCAATTCTGGTATGATTTATTGAAATTGAATCTGTTAACTTCAACAGTTGTTCTGTTATCTTGACTACTTTCATTTCTAAAGTCTGTAATTGCTTTTCATCATCATGTTTATCATCATCTTGTTTGCCATATTTATCATTCTCTTCAAGTTCAAAGTAATCATTAGTTTTTTTGATAATGGTTTTGATCACAAGATGTTCTAATGCACCAGTAATCAGATGTTTAACCATCTTTATATTACCAGTGATTGAGCAACCAAATTTTCTCAAGAGTTCTTTTACCTCCAATTCATTAATTTCAACTCTTCTCATTGAACAAAGTCTTTCTAAATTTATATTAAGTTATAAATGTCTTTTAATAATTGATCAGCATAATTGGGATTTTGAACTCCTAGTTGGAAATTCGTTGCATCATCTAAAGCTGATTGATATTTGATAGCTTCTTCCTTTAAGATAACATTAGATCTTATCAAATCATCAATGATTTTATTTTTTGAATTCAATTCTGTTTGAAGATTTTTACAGTCGATTTCAAGTATTTTATTTTGTGAATGAAGGTTTTGAAGCTTGTTATCATATAAAATATTTCACAACTCCCCAAATCCAATGTTATCCATTGAGCTTGACATAAATTTATTTTAGCTTGATTCCAACTCATTTTTTTCATTTTCTAGCTCAATGTTTTTACTTTCCAACTTGATGATTTTACTTTCCAACTTGATATTTTTACTTTCCAACTTGATGATTTTACTTTCCAACTCACCATTCTTGAATTTACCTTCCAATTCATTGTTTTTACATTTCAGTTCAATTTTTTTATTTTTCAGTTCCTTATTTTTATTTTCCAATTCTTTGATTTTACTTTGATTTTACTTTCAATTCATTGTTTTTATTTTCTGATTCATTGTTTTTACTTTCCAATTCTGTGATTTTACTTTTCAATTCCTCCATGTTATTAATTGTGCCATGAGAATAATTGAGATCTTGATTTCTTAAAATATTATTATCATAAGCTTCTTTACTAATTATATAATGTTCTCCAATGTTAAGACAAATTATTGGTTCTTGCACTAATAGTTGCTGTTGTCAACTACATAGGAGTTGCCACTGTTGTTGAGTTAAATGTTGCTGCTGTTTAATGAGTTGTTGACATTGTTCAAAGTGTCGTAAAAGCTCTTGCTGTTGTTGTGTAGATTCATGATGACAATTTAATTGATCTTGTTGATTTTGCATTAAATGTTGCACCATTTCCAAGAGTTCTTTCTGTTGCTTCAAGAGTTCTTTCTGAGAATTCAAGATATCTTGAAGGTGTTGTTGTAAATTTTGTTCTTGTATAGGCTGTTGCAGTTGTTGTAAAGGTGATTGCAGTTGTTGCTCTAAAACTTGTTCCAGTTGTTGTTTTAAGAGCTGCTGCTGTTGTTGCCGTAGTTGTGAGGATTTTTGATGTTGATGTTGTAAAAGTTGTTGCAATTTTTCTTTGCATTGGTCCGAGAATAAAATTAGGTGTTGTAGTTGTTGCTGGTGCACTGGTTCAAAAAATTGTTCCTGTTGTTGTTGTTGTTCTTTTAAAAGTCATTGCTGTTGTTCTAAAAGTTGTCACTGTTGCTGTGTGAATTCATCGTCTACATTGATATTTATATCAATGTGGTCTCTAGGTTTTTTTGGTGTGTCAATTTGATCAGACATTGTCTTTTTAAATACAAATGAACTGGTCTCAAGAATACAAGAAAATAAATTGTTGAAATACATTAATTATTATATATATATTAATATATATATATAATGCACACATAAATTTGTACAATTATTTCCACAAAATGTCTTTTTTTAATTTTTTTAGTTTGAATATTTCGGGAAACTTTTTTCAAAAATTTTATCATGAAAAATTTGCTTGTAAAAATGATATGAGTTTTGCGAATCGAAAGAAATCGAAACGTTTTGGTTATTGAACGGTGTGCACTATAGAATTTTAAAACAAGGTGCTTATAATAATTTTGATAACACGGTTGTTTGTGTAGTCATGTGATATTAATATCGACAGAAAAGTTTACTATTTATTTATAAACAACTGAATATATAAACAAAGAAAAATAAAAGGGATTTCGAAAAACTCCTTCCTACACAACATTAATAACATTTATAAAAAAGTATTTAGTATCTATCCTAATTAGATACAGGAGAATCTTAATTTACTAACGAACGGAACATTCAATAATGCACTTGTTGAATGCATACTACCATTATCACTATCACTATCACTATCATTATTATTTTTCTTTTCAATCTTTTTTATTTTAGGTGATTTGATTGGTTTTTTATTTTTATTATATGAGCATTTATTAGTTTCCTTTCCAGTTGGTTTTTCTGTAAGATTAGAATCCGAACATTTTTTCATCAATTCAGAATAAAAAATTGGTGTATCGCTGGTGACACGTGGCTTTTCTCCCTCCCAAATTTTTCATTGTAAAATCAATACGACGATTTAATAGTATTTTACCAGAACCACATTCCAATATTATCACATCAAAGCTACTATGAATACCTGTTTTTATTGTATATAGTATGTAGCATAATATTCCAGATGCCAAATATTGATTATTATTGGTGTTATCCGATTTATCATCTTTAACCAACTCGTATAATGATATTAAACTTTTTTCATCTCTGATTTTATTTGATCTGTTGAAAGTAAAAATTCCATTATTATTTTATGGGTGGAATAAAATTTTTTACAATATTTTAAAATATTACAAACTTATTTTTCTTACCCGTCTGAAATATTTAAAACTGATTTTAATTTCTTTCTCCAAGAAAAATTCTTGAATTTATTTGTATTTGATAAGTAATTATGTAAATCTCCACCTTGTACATGTTTAAGCACTATCGTATAATTTTTTTCATCCAATGTAATTCCGTAGCATTTATTAACATTCTCATTATAAATAGTTATATGTCCTTTTAACTAGTGGTTTGTAATATTTTAATTAATAAACTTTTTTTTGCAAATTTTAAAATTCTTATTTCACAAATTTCTTTCCTACCTCTTTTATTATCAATGAAATATCCTGTGATTTATCGATGCTTTTTAATACAACTGTTTTTTATTACACGACCAATAAGCAGTGTATGCTACACTAAATCCTACTTTAGTTAAATATTTGACATTAGAAAAATTCATCATATGGAATCCATTTTATCTTGGCTCTATTCATTTTACATTCATAAAGAAATTCTGCTAACTTTTTATTTTTGCACTTTGACGCTAATTTTTCAATTTTTTCAAATTTATTTATTTTATGTTGATAAATAAATAAGTGCAAGTGATAAAGAGTTATTTGCTTCAAAAAAGCAAAAAAAAAATTTAATATATAGCTAGCAAACATTTCTTTTTAAATTTAAATATTATATATATAAATTTCATTAAACTAGTGTTGGTTTCCAAAATTAGAGAGTTTTGCAACCGTGCGAAATTCAAAAGGTTTCACCATAAGTCAAAACTAGCTTTGATTTTTGACTATTGACTTTTGATTTAGTTTTGACATATAACTTTTAATTTTAGTTTTGACTTTCGCCTCTTCAAAATAGTTTTGGCAACCAACACTACATTAAACTCAAATAAAAATTGCCATTTTGCAAAATGCATATTCCAAAACCTTGGCTTCAAAAATAGTAATTTCAATAATAAAAGATTGTAAATCAACTACTCGTTTTGTTTATTTATCATGATTATGCACTATTACTATTTTATGATTATCCAAGTAGAATTTTCGAATCATAAAAAAAGAAATTACTCGTTTACAAAAATAAATATATGAAAATTCGAAGGGGTTTTTGAGTTGTGTTTTACATCTCATCTCTGTAAATGACCTAATATCCTCTACATGTAATTAATATTGACAGGAAAGGTTTATGTAAGGAAACCCTTTTTCCTTACGTCAAAATACTATATAATTGTTTTAATTATTAAAAAATACAAGTTATACAAGTTATCTTTATTAATTACGGAAAGCTTATCTTTTTATACAAAAATGCATAATATTATATTACAATTAGAACTTCCCGGAAAGCCGCAGCACTTAATTTGTAACTCATATACATAAGAAAATAATATAAATAATAAGTAATATGACGATAATATATTGATAAATAAATAAAGTTGTTTCGTTTTAATTTAACGCGAAATAAATTTCGTATTACTGTGCCACATTACATATTTGCAATTAACAAAAGAACTGTTACAGTTTAACTGGTGATCATTTAGAAAGTAAATTTTATATAAAAATAAAGAAAAAATGAATAATGGAATAATTCAAAGAGTCCAGCAAAAATAAGGAATAAATTGTAAATTTAGTCAAAGAATGCGGGAATTAATTTTTTAATTATTTAGAATTTTTTGATGAAAGTATTTCCTATGCAAGAACTTGTAGGATTTATAAAATACAGCACTGTTAAACGAACTCCCTTTCCAGTTGCAGAAATTGCAACTCAAGCCTTAAAATCCACAGTTGCAGAAAATGTAAAAAATTTTACAGACACCAACTTTAGACATGGCATCTAAAGTTTTCACATTCTTTGAGCAACATGACATGTAAATTCCACACATCATCTTTGTACTATCTATTTATGATCTGAATCTCGATTAAGAGCTAAAGTGAGCATCATAATCCACAGAGTTGTCATTGGACAATGTCCAACAGTTTCATTGGGCAATTTGGATTGAACATTAAAATGTACTGTTTCTCCACATTTTCTGTAAAGATTTTATAGGCCTGCAGGGTTTGTGATCTTCATTTTGGTGAAAAGCTCATCTGTTAGATGGTTGATAATAAATGACTTGGCAGCTTCATCATTATTAGGCACTAGAGAGTTTCACAATTGCGCAAAAGTCAAAAGGTTTTGCCATAAGTTGAAACTAGTTTGACCTTTGACTTTTTATTTAGTATTGACATATAAATTTTAATTTTAGTTTTGAATTATACCTTTTTAAAATAGTTTTGGTGACCAACACTATTATGCACCCTAACAATAAGGAGTGGATTCTAGCCTCATAGGTTTCTTGAATATCTTATGACATATTTCTCTTGTGCCAATCTCTGAATGGCAATTTGATTTCGTTCCAATTGTTTCTTTTGATATTTATGCCCAAGTCAGGCTCTGAATTAAGACAGGCTGGAATATCAATGTCAACAGCTCCATGTTGAGCAGCAACAGGAAGATACTTCCAGTCATTTTTGATTTGTAAATATCCGTCAATGGGCATTAGCAAAGTATATCAAACTCATCTCACTAGCTAGATTTTCCTATTGCCATTAACTGCTAGTTGCTTTGTTATTTTCAGAAATAGGTCCCCTGAATATATGTACTAATTAGAACTCTTTGTACAGATTGAAATTTTTCTCTAAGTAAACATAAGTGTAACATACCTTTTTACTATTTAACTTAGCAGTGCAAGCATGTGAATTCTCAATTCAAGCTTGGGTTTATCTGTTAAATATATATAAGTATAATCCAATAAATATAATAACCGTTGGGCTTGAACCAACATTCACTAGGCTATTACAGGACTTTAACCTCAATACCTAGCTACCTTTTGATAGGACTCTAACCTGCTAACCGGTTTTCAAGTAGACTAACTTACTTGCTATTACTGATAGGAATTGAACCCTTCAGGCCAATAAATATATGGTAAATAAAAAAATTATATACAAGAAATATTTACAACTATATCACTTGAGGCATTTATACAACCAATATAGTAATATTAAAAAGGGTTCCTAACTGATGATTAAAGGTTGGCTAAACCATTAACTATCAAAAAGGATCATGGAACAATTTGCAATGGTTTTTCCTCTTGAACTATGAAAAGATTCGTAATAAAGTATTTATTTTATTATAAATTACAGAGAAGTTATTAATCAATAGTTATATCATTATTAATTGTTAATTCAATGATGATTCTTTAACTCATGCAATTTTTAAAGGTTTGGAGTATTACAGATTATACATGCAGCCCAAATTGGTTTGGTGATTTTGATGGTCAAAACTATTCCAATTTTGATGGTAGAAAGTAGAAATTAATTACGGCATTCACTATTAAAAACATAAGTGTAACACCCCTTTACTACATGTGTAACCCCCTTTATAACAGTGTCAAAATACTTTGGGCTGCATGTATATTACAGATAATGTAATCTGTGCTATAGTGGCAATCATCTAAAGGCATCACAAAATGTTGTCAATCTTTAAATGCTAGTACTTTACTAATTATGGATTAACAAAAACTCTATTTTTGCAATCTTCTAGACATGAAATAGAAATTTTTAGAGTTAATTTGTAAAAAAAAGTTATAATGGTTTAAAGTTGTATAGCTTTACTATACATGTTATTTGAAATTTTGACAACCATACAAACCACAATTTACTATTACTATTACCAATTATTTTCACTATTCACTGATTATTCATGTGACCAAGTCACAAATCTTTATTTATTTTATATATTGAGTTCTTTATAAAAATTTTTGGTGAGTGGCACAGCACATGTTGTCTTTAAATCCAATAAATATGCTTATTAATTAAGATTACTAATGTTAATTACTCCATGTTTTGATTTAAATAGCATGCCTAAACAACAACACTTTTTTGTAAAAAATATTGTTTTTAAAAAAATTTGTGCAACACCAATAAGCAACTTTGTTGATGATAATATTTTCAATGTTGATCATCTTTTTTCCAACCTGATTTGAAATTTTTTCTTGATTGTATTATTTTAATTATTAAAAATACATGAAGAAAACACAAAAGAAAAAATGAAACCAAGCTGGTTAAAAAAAAGTAAGCAAGTATTATTATTTATGAACTATTAAAAAAATGATAGTGGTGATTCATCAATGCATTAATTGTGAATTTTATCCTATAGGGGGAAATTACGAAATGCTTCAAAGAGGTTCCACAGTGACTTATGATGATCAGGTATAAAGTTTCTGGCTGAAACTCTCTTTATTAGTAGCCAAAATTGGGCGAAATTACTTTAAAGTTGTTTAAGTTAAAATAAGCTGATTGGTATATCTTTTTATGTTTATGTTTATAAAAAATTCTGAGAAGCCTAAACAGCCCAAACTAGTTTGGGGTTTTGAGAAAATAGTTTGGACCAGAAACCTTAATCAGGTAATCATAAAATTTATCAATAAAAAGATAATATAACAACCAAATAATTTATTAAATCACTATTATTTATAACAGGATCATGATGGTGTCATGTAAAAACCATTAATTATTTGGATTACTTTTATCCAACCTTACCCAAATTAGTTGGATTTTTTCATCTTTTTATAACACCTGCTGTAAAAGTAAGTAATAATAACTATCTTGTATTTTTAGGTAGTATATACATATTTAATTAATATTCTAATAAATAAACATAGTGAAAAAGATGGGTTAAACTTATTATTTTTAAGTACGAAACATATATGAAAAATAATGATGGTAAAGGTTGGCATACTAGATTTTATAAGGTACTTGATTTTTTAATTCATTGATCCCATATTTGAAAAAATCTTTTTACCATTTTCTAATAATAATGTTATATTTGTTTAGAATTCTACCATTGATGATTGCAACTGTGTAGAGTAAAGGTGTGGACATATTGTTGAATTGTAGGTTCATTGTTATGACATGGCTATGTTGTAACTCTTGGAAAGATTTTCTGAGTGTTATAACCCTCTGTTTGCATCCTTAGTATAGGACCTAAGTAATCATTCTCCTGAAGAAGTCAAAGGATACTTCAAGGTTCATCATATACAAGTCAAACCATTTGATGCAGGTTAATTTTGGAATGATGATTAAAGTGAGGATTTAGGCAAGAGAGATATATTTTTTACAAAGATAAAAATGAATCCTTAATAAATTGGATTGGGAAAATTGATTATTAATAGATTTCATTTAATATCTTACAAAAACCTTTATTTAAAAGCCAATATTGTTACCGGAATTAGTTTTGGATGCTCTTTTGGCTGAAATTAACTAATTCCGAAATTCTTTATTTTTGTAATCTTATTTTATTAATTTAGTATTATTTTATCCATGCTACACTACACTTACTTTCATAACATGATTTTTTTATTTTTTATTTTTATATATCACGGGAGGTGTAATTACATATTAATATTAATATAATAGAAAATCCGTCTCGTGTAACCAATCAGTTTTTTAAAATATCTCATTAATTTTATAACAAATTCAAACATCATTATTAATTAAAATAAAACTATGACATTATAGCTTTCTAACGAGCCATTTCCCATATTGATAGAGGCTCTCTATGTCAAGCTATATTTATTCAAAAATAACATTACTTTTTACTTCAAAGCTAAGATTTTTTACCAATATTACCTTTATAAACTTGGTGAGTGGTTTGAAAAGATGTAAAATATTAAAAGTTTTCATATAGGTATAGCTTTATGTGGATTGTGGTTTATTAAAGTTTAGTGAAAATAGCAAAAACTCCAAAAAACATATGGTTGGCTCAGCCTAAAGACCTCCTATTGCTGTATCACATGCTCAAATTTCAAAAATCGCGATTTCATGATTCGTTCAAAAATGCAATAAAAACTTTTCAAAAAGGCCTTCACGTGATTTTGGTTAAAAAATTTATTTTCCTTCCTGCCAAATTTAGACATGATTGTCGAGTATTAGTCTAAATTTAGTAACGATGAACTAAAACTAGTCTAAATTTAGCAATGATCCTAGTGCTCAAATTCCTCATGAGCATAGTAAAGTACATGTTTTAAAAAAGAATAGAACTCTACAACAAATATTTTTTTTGATAAATCTCTTTATTACATTAAAATTAAAGACCTATTCCATCAACTAATAGAGCTATTTTTTTAAAAGATAGGGCAGAAAATGACTTCTATACTTTTAAAATTTGCACAAAATTTAGGAGGTCTTTAGACCGAGCCAACTATATTATTAACCGAAAAAACCTTGGTCGATTGAATTAATGCAAGCTGAAAAAAAAAGTAAATGAGAAATTCAACATTATAAAAAAATACAAACAATCTCAAGCATCTGAAATATTTGGTTAGAACTCTTATATTTTTTTTTTACTCTCTTGTATTGAAAAACAAGTCCTTACATAGTGGGATGTCGTGGATATCCATTTCACGTCCCGCTATTAAATTAAATTTCTATACGCGCATAATGTTTGTGTCCTTATTCAAATATTAAAAAGTCGAAATAATATTCACATTAATATTAATATTAATTTATAGATTCGAATACGGGAATACCACCAAGTAAATTTAAAGAATGATCTTAGTACACATGACAAACAAAACGAAACAAAAAATCCGAATCTGGTTTGTATTTTATTATTATTATTATTAATTTATATCAACGCTGTGACAGTTTCTGGAGAGAATCTACAACAAGCCTAAACCTTACTCTAAACCTAAACTAAGAGCTTCAGTTACGACATCACAAATCATTTCGTCTTCGGTCAAATAACCGATAATAGCTAATTCGGCAAAATTAATTACCAATTAATTAATTTATTGCATCATAAGAATAGCTTCTATATGGAAAATAACATACGGAAAAGGTACTAATACTAGTACTATTACATTATATAAACTTTTCCGAAAATTATGTGTATATTATTAAAGGATTATTCCTCATAAATAAATATCATAAATATACGGAATTTCTGCACATAATAATAATAATAATAATAATAATAATAATAATAATACGTGTTAGTACCATTTAAAAAGGATTCCCATCAACTGAAATTTATCAAATTCTTAGCCGACTTACATCAGTAGTTTTTTTCTTCCCAAATAATTGCATGTTAATTAGTGTAAATACTGATATTAATAAATTGTTTCAAATTCCTTTATAATCCAATCATTGTCATTGGTATTTTTCGTGTTTGCAAGTCTCTCTTCAAGCCCTAGAAATTTAACCATCATTGGAAATTATCAAGAATAAAATCTCCTCGGAAAAATATATTATCATCACTGCCATGGGGAAACATTATTTATAATGAAAAATATGTATTTTACAAAAATTGTCTTTAATTTTCGTGGAATAACATTTTGAAGGGAATACAATATTCGATGTAATGGTCATTATTATATGAAATCATAATTATTCAACACGTGGCAAAGAACCAAGTGTGATCATGACATTATCATGAATAATTAACCCTAGCATTAAGGCATTGTTATCATTAATCTCAAATTTGAACAAAAGCGCGCCGAAGAAAAATAAAATCTTTTTCCTTTATAAAAACGCGTATTTGTGTAAAGATTGGTTTTTGACATTTTTATATTCATAGATCTTAAACAAATCGTATTTAAAGAAAAAATTATATATTATAAAGTATCGAGATAAATATTTATTTACTATTATAAAATATACATTGAAAATACAAAAATATCCAAGAAAGAAAAGTCAATGGATTAGCCTTTATTATTATATATATTATATTAATATGCGAGTACGTGGTATATAAACTCTCAATTAGATTTTTTACAAATTTTCAGGGTAAACTCGCGCGTTATCATTTAACATTATTATTGCAATTTTGCATAAGTCAAAAAGGTTTATTCCTGAATTTGTTGTATATTAATATTAATAAATTAACTATATGATTAAAAAAAAAAAAATAATAAAATCTACAATATTACTTTTACATTTATAATTAAATCAAATAAATAAATAAATCTAAAAAGTCTTGGATATATAAAAGAAAAGAATTATAATTAACAAATTGAAAACATTCTATATAAAAAAATATAAATATATTATATATAGTAATGTTTAAAAATATTCCATAGTGGACTTGTAATTATAAGGAGGAGCCATATTGGAATAATCATAGTTGTAATTTAGATGCTGAGGATCTTTATTATTTGCTGGTTCTGATGATGACAAATAAGATTCTTTATCATTATTATTATTATCATTATTATTATCATTATTATTATCATTGTTACTATTATTATCATCATCATCATCATCATCATCATCATTTTGTTTGGTTATTAATGTTGTGGATTTTGGTGGCGTAGGAGAATGTGATGATGTAGATGTCAATGATGATCTAGGTAGTAGTGACGGTGGAGGACTAATTGATCTAATTGATAGTGGTGGTGATTCAGGTCTTAATGTGGGAGAAGAGGCTTTTGAAGCTAATAGAATATTTGTCCTTGGTTGTCGTTGTGTTGGAAAAGTAGAAAAATGAGATGGTGAAGAAGGCGGTAGAGGAGGAGGTCTTGGAGCCATTTTTCTAGCTTCATCAAGTGGCATAGTTATTATATTATTTGATGATATTACTGGTACTGTGAAATAAAAAATAAAAATATTAATATATGCAAGAATTTACATTCAGGGAGTTGTAAATCATTTTACAAAAAGAAGCAATTATAAATAAATACCTTTAACATCTCTTGATATAGTTGCTTTCATAATAGCTTTCATCCATTCTTTTATTGATTGCTGGTCATCATGGGCAAAATAATGAGTTCTATTTGTATCATGTACTAACTTAAATCCGTACTTTCCATATAAAAGGTTCTCATCTGGTATTACGCGATAGTTTGTTAGATTTATATGACCTTTGACTATAACTGAATTCAAATTCTAAAAAAAAAAAAAGCTAGCAAATTAGTAATGTAGTGAAATTAAGAAATAAATAAATGATTAACTAATTAACGAATCAAATAAGTTACCTTGTCAGTTTTCAGATAGTAAAGATTAGCATCCTTCAATATACATAATCTTGATTTCCAAACTTTGTATTTGTTACCTTGCTTCTTTAACCATCCTTCATGATCAGGTACACCAATAGAATCAAGAACATCTTCGTCTATTTCACTATCACTATTATTATCATATTTACTATTATTACCATATTCCAAAATATAATTATAATTATCATATTCATTATAATAATCTTTATAATCATTACTATTAAATTTGTCGTGTCTTGGTGAATTTGGTTGACTAATAGAAACACCACCAACAAATAAAGCATTTTTATCCATAGCGGATTTCTTTGGTTTATTATTATTATTGAAATTTGGCAAATACTTGAATGATTTCTTTTCATTATTATTACCGTTGTTATTATTAATATCTGATGATATAAGGCGAGATCGAGACAATTTACTATTATTACTATTACTTTTATTTTTATTGTTATTATTATCATCAGAAGAATCTAAATAATCTTTCTCATCTTTAAACTCCCAACCACCTGTAGATATTGTACGTGGTTTGTCTGTTTTCTTTTGTGGTGAAAACATACTAAGCGATTTTTGAGTTTTCTTATTATTATTTGATTTTGTTAATTGACTCATTTTTGAAAAAATCGATCTTTGTGATTTATTATTCTTTTCATCACTATTCTAAACAAATAAAATCAATCATAAATGTATAAAGTATTAATATTAATGGAAAAAAAAAGTTAATATTACACATCCCAAAAATTTTTATTTACCTCTTTATTTGAAAATTTGGATTCAGATTTTTGTAAAGTTGCTTGATGAGGGTATGAAGCTTTCTTAGTATCATTTGAGAACTTAACGGCCGTAGAGGATCTTTGCGACCTATTTTGGAATCCTTCATGAGTGATATTGGTATCATTGTTGTCGGGATATTTTGATAAAGAAGGATTTGATATTGAATATTTCCGATTTCCAAGTTTACGGGATGATGGTTTTTGATCAACAAAAATTTGCTAAAACACAAACAAAAATAGAAAATAGAAGATTAACAAATGTAATAAATAATAATAATCAAAATATTAATAATTAATAGTAGTCCTAAATAAATACAAACCTCTTCATATTCAGAGCTATCATCCTTCTCATCTTCTTTATTTTTATCATTTATTGAAAATTCGGATTTCAGTGCAGTAATAGCATTCATTATATGAACACGTTTACCAAATGATGCAATATTCAATTCCTTTAGCATATCTGTATTTAAATCAAGAAGTATGTCTCCAGTAATATCGTTGTCTAAACATAAGTGAATACAAGTTTGTGTAAAATAAATAATTAGAAATTTGAGTCTAAAAATTATTTTTTTTTTGGAAAAAAAAACCCATATTTAGAAAGTTTAAGAAATTTACCACGAAAATTTTTTTGCATTACTGAATCAAACCCTTTTTCATGTAACCATGAACAAACCTTTTCTACATTCCACATAGTGGGATGGCTTTTTGATTTTTCATTATTATAAGTTGATATTGTTGTTGTTTTTGTTGTTGTTAATGCTAATATATTAATTTTATTATTATTATTATTGTCATCAATTTGCTGTTGTTGAAATGATTGAAGTTGATTCTGTGAATAAATAGAACTAGTTCCTTTAGTAGATGATGATAAATGACTACTAAAGCTAGAGGCTGATGATGAAGAAGTATTTTGTGATAGTTTTTTATTATTATTATTATAGTTGTAGTTATTATTATAGTTATTATCAGAATTATATGATAAAAATTGTGATTCGTCATTTGATCGATTATTATTTCTTGATTGAAATAATAACAATTGTTCATCTTTCTCCCCTTTTATTCCACCTCCAGTTTCTGACACTTTTTCTATTAAATTGTTTAAACTTGTTTCATCTGATTTTGATTGAATATCATCAATCATTCCATCAATGGAATGATAATTGTATTGATTTGTGAGGGGAATTCTATAGTTATTAAAATTTATACTATCACGTTTACTGTTACGATTACTATTGTTACTTTTATTGTTGTTGTAGGTTAATTTATTATGTCGATGAAATTTAGGTGATGGTGGTAAAGGTTTTGAATAGCTTGTGTAATTCATAGGAAATAATCCTATTTCTCCACGAACATTCTTTCCCTAATAAAAAATATTAAACATCATCACGTGATACATTAGAAATTGTATAAATGCTATTTAATTATAATTGTCACCAACTCTAAAGGATTCTAAAGAACTCTTTTCATCAATTAAATAAATTCATTTACCTGCCACCATCCATCACCATACATTTCATCCTTTTCAAAAACCAAAATAGGTTCACCATATTCAAAACTAATCTCATCTCCTTTTTCAGCTGAAAATGAGTGAATTGCGTATACCGTTTCTAATGCCATATTATAATGGTTATGTTTTTTAGAAAAATAAAAGTTATTAAGAATTTTGTAAAGAAAGGGGGGTTTTTTTCGAGAAAAATATAAATCGGGTGAATGTGTGTATACAAATAATAAGATAACTTCTTTTTTTTTAGAAATAAATTTGTCTTTGTTCTCCTTTAATGGAGAAAAACCATTTTTTTCAGTTTAATTGATTAATAATAAATGCGCAAACAAATAAAATAAAATATTTTATCAAATGACGATATTTTAATACAACAAGTATAATTTGGAAAGTAGGAGAAAAAAAAAAAGATAAAACGTTACTAATATTAAAAAATATATAAAATAATGATTTACATTTTTTAAGGCTATATATTCTTACTGGCTGTATTTTTTTTCTTTTACTAAACCCGAGATATATTAATAATTAATATGCAATATTATATAAATAAATTTTTTTTAATCCCATAAATTGATTAACAGTTTTAGTGTTGTGGAAGTATTCTTTATGATCTAAGAACAGAAAATAATAGGGTCGGATTATTATATTTATAGATTTGTAAAACCAAAATATTGATCGATTTTGACACGCATAACATTAATGTTAAAACAGCTGTTCTAATTGAAGAATAATTATTTATCACTATTAACTTGTTAAAGGCTATTATTTTTATTGCTAACTAATTAAAGATTATTTGAGTAATTGTGTGAGAAAAAGAATGTGTTTGATTTATAATATTTATAATACAAAAGTCTTGTTTAAAACTTTGTAATAAAAAAAAGTTTTTCCGACGTTTTACAAATCATTTTGTGGTTACACTAACTTTTCAGGCAGAGAAACATGGATCGAGAAAAAAGACACAAAAAGTATATAAATATGCAATGAGTCATTTAAGAGATACAAATTTTATTAATAACTATCTGTGAGTAACATATTTTGTTGATGTTCATAATGAGTCCATTTTCTCTTATCATATAGTTGTTAACCTTATCGGAAATCTCATTCACTTAATGAAATATCCTTGCATGAAATTGAATTCATTAACCCTAAATTAGTTGTGAATGGTTTTGTATTGTTATTAAAAATTTTATAATTTCTCATTGAAATACTCTGCTTCCCCTTCTCTCTTTTAATGATTTGTATCGAATGTATTATAAATAAATTCAGAGCAAAAATAAATAATAATATCATTTCCTTCTCTTAAAGCAACTGTTTTATTCTCAAAACCTCCAGACAACGTGCTAACTATCTATCTGCATTAATTGAAAGAAGTATTTTACAATACAATATATAAAATGCATATGCTAATACTAATTTAAGCAAAATTTGCCGTCATAGATTTATAATAATAATAATGAAATTGTCCATTCAAAATTTATATATTAATATAAACTTTTTATAATATATAAAATTACAACAACTATATTAACATAAATTTGTTTTTACGTTTTTTTATATTAAAAAACATTCATGACTCTCATATCTTTTCTATTAGCAATAAATTAAATTGTTCAAATATTTTTTAAACAGGAACATGGAAACTTCAATATTGAAGCGCCTCATTTCTTATATGCATCTTAAGGGTCTAGAATAAATGTCGTTGGCGAAATGTTATCAGAGTTTAGAACTATTATGTCAAGTTAGGTCAAATGACTAGTAAAAAAAATCATGGCTAAAGTAAAAACTGATTAGTTGACAATTTATCAAAAATCATTCAATTGTTCTTTGTCATTACAACAATTATTAGCATTATTAGCATTATTTAGTTTGACAAATTGATCAAAGAATCCACTCGAATTAGCCAATAATTATAGTTAATTGTTGTCACGTGATTTTTTTTTAAAAAAAAAATTTATGTGCATCAACACCAGTTTTGTAGTATCCAAGGACTTATAATAACATCAATATAATGTATTTGATGAATTACAGGTTTTTCAATTAATCGGTAAAATAAGTAACACAATTTAAATACTTAATTATGAATCTTTATTAATAATGAATTATGTATGGATTTAATTATTAAAACAATCGATCTTCGATTTTAACCAATTAAAATTTTCAAAATTCAAAGTTCTAAATTTTATTTGTCAAATTCAGGAGTGCTGGAAGACCTCCCGATATTGTTTGAACATATTTTAATAAAGATATCCTGGCAAGTATGATTCCGCCTGTATATTTATAATGATAATGAAACAAGAGCATTTAGCGAATAGATTGAAATAAAACAATTTTATCTTACAGGTTCTCTGACAACTACTAATTCTTCAAAATCAAAAGGGATCGAATGATTCTTATCAAACCTTTTGATTAAATATTTTTTCAAAAGGTTTGAATTTTATTAAATGATTTTCGTTCTTTGAATCTGGTAAATAAAGATTTCGAGTTCTAGGATTATTATTATTTAGAGACAAGCTATAAACAAAAAAGTTATTTACATGAATTTTAATTTCAATTTTGATTTCGAAAGCATGTGATTTTTCGAGGTTTCTAATTAAATGATTTTCGCCACAACTAATTCGAGGGACATTATTTAATATACCTTTTTTTATAATTTAATCGATTTTTTTTTTCCTTGCCCACAACAAATTTTTGAAAAGAAAAATAAAATAAAATAAAAATGAATTCAATATTTGAAAAATATTTTAATGAAAATGAAAGATTATTGAGTACAGAAGATTTTTATGATGTAAAAATATATGTTGGTGTAGAGCCAAACATTAAAGAAGTTCATGCACATGCATCTATCATATCTACTCATTGTCCATTTTTTAGCAAAGCATTGAGCAGTGCAACAAAAAAAAATGGATATTATATTATTAACAAAGTTAATATTGGTGAAAAATATCTTAATACTATTCTCAAGTAAGTTTAAATAAATATATTATTATTAATGAATATATAATAATGGTATTAATAACCTGTTTAATAATTTATTTATTTATTTGTAAGATTTTTGTATACATGTAAAATTGAAATTGAAAATTATCCTGGAGCTGAAATGTTAGAACTATTAATTGCAGCAGGCCAACTTGGGATTGAAGCACTTTATGAATATATGATGAAATACTTTGTTGAAAATTATGATGATTATATAGAAGAAAATCCAGTTAAAATTTTACAATTGATTTATGCTAATGAAGATTTTAAGGAATTAAAAAATATCTATTTGGAAAAATTTTGTGATTATAGTGTAAAATTATTTGAGTCAAATGAATTTGAATCTTTAGAAGAATCAATTCTATTGGAAATTCTCAAAAGAGAAGATTTTTTTGTTGTTGAGATGATTATCTGGGAAAACATTCTTAAATGGGGATTAGCAAAACATCCAGAAATCAACAATATCAATGTTGAAGATTGGTCACCACAAAATTTTGTTGATTTAGGTAACACATTAAAAGAACTTCTTTCTTTAATAAGATTTCAGGATATCTCTAAAAAGGATTTTGTTGATAATATTGAACCATATCATATGCTTCTTCCTAAAACTTTATGGAAAACCATTTTACAATATTTTGTGTTTTCTAATAGTCAACAAACATTAAATTTATTACCATCAAGAATTCCTAAACTGAATTCAACACTTGAATCATTGACAATCAATCAAAAACTCATTTTGCTTTTTGCAAGTTGGATTGATAGAAAAAGTCCACCATATACCTCATTTAAGGAAGTCAAATATGAATTTAAACTATTGTATCAAAGTAGTAGAGATGGTTTAAATGCTGATACATTCCATCAAAAATGCAATAATATCAACAAAACTCTTGTAGTTGGCAAAATACAAAATTCAGAAAAAATAATTGGTGGTTATAATCCACTTGATTGGAATGGACATGGATATAAAAATACAACTGAAGGTTTTATATTTAATATAAGTAATAGAAATGATGTCAATACTGCTCAATTTAGTTATGTTATTGGGAATGTGAAGGCAATTTATTGTAATTCTTATTGTTTACCTAAGTTTGGCTCTGGCAGTGATGTTTATTTCGAAAATAATGGTAAATTTGGCGTTGGTAGTAGTGTAATAAAGGCTTATAATAACATCAATATAGTTAATGGCAAATTTGATGAATTAGAGGTTTTTCAAGTAGTTCTTATAAAATAAGTTAAACAAAATACTAGGTCAATTATTTTTTTATTATCATCTACCAATAATAAATTTACATGTATTATATTAAATAAAAATGTAATGTCTATTGTTTGCTTGAATCAAGATAAATTCTTTACTGGTTGATTGCAATTGTTGGTGAAAAAAATAAATATATTAACATGACAAACTTTGACACTGATTAAAAGAAGGCTGTTAAATAAATCAATAGCAAATTTTTGGAAAAAGTGATAACAGAATAGAATTTGAAATATTGTCAGAAGCAGAAAAAAAGCATCAGTTATTAATCATACATTAATTTGCAATTTGGAAAGAATTGACATACATTAATATTAATATTATGCGAGTTTAATAACAAGAAAATTAACTAATAGACAGAATCCTGAATCATTTTTTAATTGTGGAAATTTAAATGACAAAACATTCCACTTTAACCATAAATCTTGTTTCAGTAGGTGAAAGAGAATGGAGAGTAAAAGTGAGATACAACTAAATTGATTTACTAAACACCTATTGAAGTCTTTGAAGCATTGTAATTTAGTAAATTATAAATTTATTGTTATAATTATAATATATTTGCTTTAGTGTTATTAACTCTATTGAAAGATAACAAATATAACAGTTGATTTACAATGAGCAGGCATACTCTAAGATTTTTGAATAATATAATTAGAATCAATATTTAAATTTTATTAAATCATTAATTACCTAAACAAATTAATTGGGATATGATTAATACACCAAAATATTCTGTTTATAATTACTGCTATTAATATTACTATCAATACACCACTATCAAAAATATGCACAGTATAGAACATTGCAATAATTAAAAAAATGGATCAATGGTAAATGGATTGAAAAGAATTGTTACATGACCATTATTATTAAATTATTTCTTTGTAA